ACAAAATTTTACAAATTAAAATTCTATGTCAATAGAATTCATTTAAAGAAAAATATTTCTGGATCATTTCATAATTGGACATAGCTTCCATGCAAGATCGCCTCCCGAAAATCACTTAAACGCGCATAACATACAACCAAATTAAGATATCCATATAAAACTTGGTACAAGTGTTGCTCTTATATACAGAAATGTTACTGTGAAATTTTATTCTGATCGGTCCTTAATTGGTCATAGCTCCCATACAAGGTCCCTCCCGAAATTCACTTAATCGCAAATAACTTATTACTAAATTCAGATATTCATATAATATTTGGTACGAGTATTGCCCTTCAATACAGAAATGTTATGGTGAAATATTTTTCCAATCGGTCCATAATTGGTCATAGCTCCCATACAAAATCTCCTCCAGAAAATCACTTAAATGCTCAATATTTATTTCGAAATGATATAGATACAGAATTTATCCAAAATTTTGTCTTTATATAAATTAATGTTACTGTGGAATTTTTTTACGATCGGACCATAACTGGTCATAGCTCCTATACAAGGTCCTCTTACGAAAATCCCTTAAACGCACATTACTCATTACCAAATAAAGCTATTGATACAAAATTTAGCATAAATATTAGTTTTGTATACAAAAATTCTATTTCAAGATTTTTTCACCATCGGTTCTATTTCGATTATGAGGTGATTGAGTGAAACAATGGAGTTTAATTCTAACCCAAAGTTAACCTTTATTTAAAAACAATAATTAATAATAAAACGAATAACAAATGAATTTAAAATAGTTACCGCGTATATGACTGTGTGATGTTTACTAGACGACTTAACAATGTACAATAAACATAACAAAAAGTAATAGCGGCAAACTATGTATGTATGACAATATAAAAGTATGTATATTTAGTAAATTTATTATTTACCATTAAAGAAATATTGTGGCTTTGACTTTAAAAGAATTTTATTAATTAATACAATAAAGTAACTTATAATGTTATATGAGAAATGAGCGAGATTAGTGTACATGGTTTGATGAGCAAAAATGACGAATGACAAATTTAATATGTAGTGGTCTTTATAATAAAAAGAATAACAAGGTTATAAAATTAGTAAACGAAAATATTGTAAACGATGACAGGGTGCCACAGTACTCCCCGGCTAGATGAAAACTACCGGAACCTTATAGGGAAATTAATACGTCGACCATGGCGGGTAGTTTTCGTCGATAATATTGGAGAGTTGGGTTGATTTGATGACGGTTGATTCATTTGCGGAGGATTGCTTTGTGCTGGCGATTAATGTTGAGAAGATTGTGGCTGTTGGTCCTCGTTACAATCCGGTTGTGTCCTTTGTGATTGATTTTGTTAGTCTAGCATATTTGTGTCGGAACTCTCGATAAAGGCTGGTTAGAGCCTGTCGATGCTAATGTTGACGTGAAGGTTACCAATGGTGATAGTGAAATACTTTTCAGTTTTTCGAATAATTTTATGTGGGCCATCATACGGATACGTCAACGAAGGCCGTATGGAATCGTTCCGTACGAAAACATGAGACGACGAAGTTAGAGAAGGACTCACGAAAGTTTTTGGTTCCGCGCGATGTGATGTATCTGTTGGACGAAGCTTTTGAATTGCGGCACGAAATTGTGCGACTACTTCACTTGTTGCTACTGACTGTTTCGTGTTGCAGAAAAATTCACCGGCAATTCTTAAATTCGTCCCACAAACGAGTTCGGCGGGCGAGGCATTGATGTCAGGCTTAAACACAACGCGTAGGCCAAGTAAAATAGATGGCAGGCTATAAACCCATTTTGCTGGATTGCTGCAAAGGATTGCGGCCTTTAACACACGGTACCACCTCTCTATTATACCATTTGACCCAGGATGATACGGTGTCGTACGGAGATGTGAAGCACCAATTAAGGTTGTTAACTCAGCAAAAACGTGTGACTCAAACTGTCTTCCGCGGTCGGATGTAATTTTTGCGGGAATACCAAACCTGGCAATCCATTTATGCAATATTGCTTTTTCGACTGTTTCGGCTGCCATATCCGGCATAGGCACAGCCTCAGGCCATCTCGTAAAACAATACCGTTGGCCATCGCACAGCGGAAATGGGCCTACAATATCGACACTGACGTGTGAGAAACGTTCCTTTGGCGGTTCGTACTTTGATGTAGTAGACTTCGTATGGCGCTGTACCGCGTATCTTTACGCATCGCTGCCTAGACGAAACAGGCAATTAATAATTTCGTCGTCACAAATCAAATTATGTTCTGAGCCTGAAAATGCAAAAGATGATAATATGAGAGAGTTAGTGATTCTACCTGATTGTAAATTTTTTAGCTCCTCGTCATCTTGCTGCGCTGAAGCAATTTTCGAGTAGTCGACGGTTCGATTTAGTAACTGAATACGAGATAGAAAATCTGCTGTTGAATTTTGTTCACCAGGGATGTAACGAATATCTGTCGTGAACTGTCCGATGAAGTCCAATTGTCGAGGCCTGCGAGGCGATGCTTTTTCAAGTTTTTGAAAAAAAGCGTAAACTAATGGGCGATGATCAGTTACGATGTAGCACTTTCTTCCTTCCAGCATGTATCGAAAATAGCTACTACCTTGATACATCGCAGTCACGGTCGTAAGTGCTATATTTTAGCTGTGAGTTTGTCAACTTTTTTGAATAAAATCCTAGGGGCTGAAGTGCACCATCCACACACTGATGAAGAGCTGCGCCGACTACCATGTCCGATGCATAGACATACAGTGCCAATTGCAGAGTCCAAATGTCATGAATTTGAACTCGTAAAGGCCGAAAGGTGTTGTTATGGCTGTTTTGACGACATCTTCAGGGTGGACCGGGAGTTGATGGAAGGCTTTCTGGAGATCTATTTTTGAGAAAATTGTCTTACCGTTAAGGTTACTGACAAATACGGGAGCGGGTAACGGTCACGGAAGGTTTGCGCATTTAATGCTCTATAATCGCCACATGGTCTCCACGAGCCATTGGAGTTTTGCACCATGTGCAACGGACTGGACCAGTTGCTGCTGGACGGTTGGCAAATTCCAGCTTTTGTAAGTGCGTCAAACTCAGCTCGTGCTGCAGACAATTTTTCGGGAGATAAGCGTCGCACTCTGGAATGTACCAGCTGACCTGTCGTGTCGATACGATGGAAGATTGAGGATTTGGTAGTTGTTCCATACGGAGCAATCTTCGTAATGTCAGCAAAATCACGCAAAATATCAGATGTTTTAATCTCTGTAGCCCTCAATTCAGAGAAGGCTACTGGGGTCGGAATGTTATTGGTCATTTTGTCGATTAGGCGATTACGGCGCAAGTCAAGCAACAGATCGTAAAATAGCAAGAAATGGGTGCCTATAATTGAAGTCGTGACGTCTGCAATCAAAAATGACCACTCGAATGTTCGCTTTAGCCCAAGACTTTAAACAATCCGCTTCTGCCCGAGGACTTTAATTGGTAATCCGTTTGCTGTATAGAGCTTCGTGGTGGTGGGTTTTATGTCGGAGGATCTTAACGTGAGTGGTAGGACGGACACGACGGCACCTGTATCAACTAGAAATGTTTGTTTAGTTAGCTGGTCTTTGAGCAGCACTGGATGTTACAGTGCTGACGAAACCACGTTTGTGGCGACATGGAGATCTACACCTTTGTGCTTTGCGACCATGTTTTCGGTGATACCAGCATTCGTCAGTGGTAAAATTAGAATTTCCATCACCTGATACATTATTAGGTGACAAATAACGAGCACGAACACGTGATGCATTACGGGACTGATGACGACTGCGAGAACGTGAGCTAGTTGAAAATTGTTCTAATTTTTTTGTGAGGTTTTGTACCGCAGCACGCAATTCATCGATTTCGCTAGCTTCGTGTTTTGAAATTGCGTTAATTTGCTTAGCTGACACGGCATCTATAGAATCTGCGATTCTGGTGAATTCAGCTGCTGGACCGCTTGATGCGGCGGCTACGGGTTGCACGACGTCTGGAAGCCGTTTTATCCATAAAATCTTTAGAGCGGCATCTCCCAGAGTTGATCCTGCCACGCGTTTCATTCCGTAGTAAAGTTCCGATGGCTTTTTGTCGCCGAGAGGCAACTCGGACAGGAGTCGGTTTAGTCTGCGCTGCTCACTGTCTGCGAAGTGATAAATTATTTTCTTGTGGATGTAATCATATCGCTCGTTTTGTGGCATCTCCGCAATGACTTCTGACAATTGTGCCAAGATTGTGCCGTTTTTCTTATATCGCTCGAAATCCCTGACGCAGTGAACCAGAAGTCCATGGTTTTAAACCATGATTCAACGTTTGAACTGGCCATCTGTGGTAATGGCAGACGTGCGTAAACTACAGCAACATTAGCGGTGGCTGGTGATTCTGCACGTGGTTGAGTCGTGTCGTTGGTCGACTCGGATAGTCCGACTGTTGAGGGATTGCCACTGTCGTTTAGATCAGTCATTTTGCAACCTTTAAAATTTAAAAATGTCGATATGTACCGTTACAGAAATACTGTTGAATTTAATTGTCTTAAAAATTCCTTGTCGCTACACCACAAGATCACGTCGGAGTCACCAATTTAGTAAATTTGTTATTTACCATCAAAGAAATCTTGTGGCTTTGACTTTAAAAGAATTTTATTAATTAATACAATAAAGTAACTTAAAATGTTATATGAGAAATGAGCGAGATTAGTGTACACGGTTTTATGAGCGAAAAATGACGAATGACAAATTTAATATGTAGTGGTCTTTATAATAAAAAGAATAACAAGGTTATAAAATTAGTTAACGAAAATATTGTAAACGATGACAGGGTGCCACATATTTAAGACAATATAAAAACGACAGTTATAATTTTAGTACAAAAAACATAGAAGTGGCTTATTTGGGGTTGCCAACATCTCTTTTTCTTTTAAGAAGATGATAATCTGGAGTACATACATGAAGACGCTTTCTACGATTGGACCTTCAATGAGCTGGGGAAGCTTCATCTGTTTGAACTACAGGATCTGTTGTTGAATTACTAGTCGATGCACCTTCTTCTAATGTTGACGTTAAATTTTCTAAAGTTGTCGGTTGACTATTCACGTTTGTTGAACCATATGGTGAAGTAACTAGAAGTGGATCTTGAACAGGTTGCAATTCATCTGTAGATGTAGTCTGTCCATCAGTGAGCTGTTAAATTGAAATAATCAAATAAAACATCATTAGCTGCTATGTTCTCAGATTCAGAATAACGAGGTCTTAGTTGGTTTGTATGAGACCTAACTGCACGAAATTCGGGAATGTTTTCGATTTCGACTTCGTAATTGACATTTCCAAGTTTTCGTTTGATAATACCTGGGAACCATTCAGATTTATTTAATTTGTATAATTTTGTGTAAGCTTTCTGACCAATGTTGTATATCCGCTTTTTAGCACTATTACGTTTGTTAAATTGATCTTCCATTTTCTCGTTTCGTTGTAATTGGGATTTTGTAGGTTTTTTAAGTAGATCTAGATTAAACCTTATTTTTCTCCCCACGAACAATTCAGAAGGCGATTTATTTGGTGAAGAACGATAACATTTTAAAAATGTTTGTAGATTTTCACTAGAAGTGCCAGTTCCTTCGAGTTTTTTCAAAGCGCGCTTTAAAGTGTCAACGAACCTTTCTGCCTGACCATTTGATTGAGGGTGGTATGAAGCTGTGAATTTGTGTAAAATACCATTTTCTTGACAAAACTTGGAAAACATGCTGCTGGAGAACTGAGTTCCATTATCACTCACTATTAATTCAGGGTTTCCAAACAATGAAGTGAAATCGCGCATACAATTTATAATTGAATTTGAAGAAATCGATTTAATTTGATAAATTTGTGGCCACTTCGAAAATGAATCTACTATTACGAAATAATAAAAATGATCAATAGGACCGGCTATATCTAAGTGAACTCTTTCCATAGGTTGTTTTGTTAATGGCCATGAATAAAGTGACGTTTTTGGTAACGATTTTGCTACTGAAGAGCATTTGGTACAATTTTGTACATACCTTTTAATTTCATCATCCATATGGGGCCAATAAACGTAGCTGCGAGCCAGTGCCTTTGTCCTCTCGATACCATGATGACCTTTGTGTAATTCTTTTAGAATGGGTTTTCAAAAACAGCTGGTATTATAATACACTCCTCGTACATAACACAATCAACAACAATACTTAAATCTTGTTTTCTCGTAAAATAACACTGAATAGCAGAAGATTTTTAATTTGGCCACTTACCAGTTTGTAAGAATTTTATAAGATCTTGGAGATTTGAACACTTTTTAGTTGAAGCACAAATCATGTTGAATGTTACCGGCAAATCATTTGTGATATCGTTAATTACCTTTTTGATGTCATCTTCCAATTGAATACAAGCGATGATAGTGTCTTCGATTGGTTTTGGTACATTGGAAATTAGACGAGATAAAATATCAGCTGCTCCGAATTCATAAGTTGAAATGTATTGCAAAGTAAAATCGTATGACATGAGTGTAAGAGCCCATCGCTGGAGACGGTTTGCAGAATGTGCCGGAATTCCTTTTTTATTTCCAAAAATTTAAAGCAGGTTTGAAGAATACATTTTCTACCAAATAAATATTTATGGAATTTAATTACAGCGAAAACCAGAGCCAATCCTTCCTTTTCAATTTGAGAGTAATTTTTCTCAGCTGGAGTCAGAGACCTTAATGCATGATAAATTGCTTTTTCGCTGCCATCAGGAAAAACATGACAGATGTATGCACCCAGTCCAACGTTTGAGGCATCAGCTGCAACTTTGATAGGAAGCTTTGGATCAAAGTGAGTAAGCAACAAATCAAATGACAAAAGCGGTTTAAACGCTCAAAACTGCGTTGACATGATGATGACCAATTCCATGCTGTGTTTTTCTTGAGTAATTTATCCAAAGGATCTCGAAGCTTTCTCAATTCATGTAGAAATTTACCGTGGTACTTAATTGCTCCTAGGAAAGACCGCAATAAATCAATTATTGAAAATATTGAACAGTTGTTAAAATTTATAAAAATTTCATCTGGAAATGGCAGTAGAAATGTGTGAGGTTCTAGCTGATCATTTAGTCCAGTGGAGTAATCCCCATAAATACGTAGATTACCAGAAGCCTTTTTCACCACCACAATGGGTGCAGCCCATTCAGAAAAATTTATTGGTGAAATGATACCTTCACGTTCAAATTTTTGAATTTCACTGTCTAGTTGACCTTTTGCTCCATACGCTACTTGTCGTTTAGAACAAAAAACAGGAACAGCGTGTGGTTTAAGTTGTAGGTGAACTTTAAAATGAGTGCAGTGTCCAATTTCATTCCTAAAACCTTCTGGGTATGTTTTACGCAATTCAGATTCTGTGAGTGTGTTGTTAACTTGAAGTTGTTTACATGATGTATACGAATCAATGGGTTGGTTTCACAATTTAAATTGTTCCATTAAGTCAGAACCGAAAAGATTTAAATGGGGAAGTGATGATACCAAAATGTTGCAAGATTGGTTTTGATTATTGATAACCACTGTACACTGAAACTGACCTATTATGTTAATTTCATTTGTAGAAGCATCTCTTAGCTTGTGCTAAGAAATTTCTAAAGTTGGTTTACCAATTTTAAGCCAGTTCTTTGAGATGATCGTGACATCTGAACCAGTGTCATGTTGAAGAGAGAGATTTACATTGTTAATTTGTAGTGAAATGTATCGTCTATTTTTACATGCTACTGTGGTTGCTTATACGTTTTTTATTGTTTTACGCGTTTTCTTGAAATTACTTTTATTTTGATGTTGCTGATAATTTTTGCTTATATTTGGCTTTTTATCTGGAAAGCATGAACAAAATCCTTCCTTATGTCCAACTTTACCACACTGTGAGCATTTGTGTGTTGCATAACCACAGTCCCCGGGAAAAATGCATATTCCCACATTGCCAGCACGGTCGCCTTGGCTTTTGGTCTTATTAGCATTCTGTGGTGTACGTTGCTTGGAACTATGAACTGAGTTGACATTTGATTTTTCATTTCTTGAAACATCGCGTTTAAGACTGTTGATACGTTCCACTTCAGCGACTAAATTATCAAAATTCAATTGATTTTGTTCAGTTTCAGACTCTAGTAGGGTCAAAAGTCTCGCTTTATATTCTTGATCCTTATGCGATGACAAGCCATTTACAAATATAAGGCATTTAAAATTATCCGCAGTGCATTTATTTATTAAAAAATTTTCACAATGGCGATTTACTTTGTCGGCGTAACTGATTATATCTTCGTCTTCTTATTTACATTTGTTATACATTTTACACGAGTACTGAATAGACTCTCTTTCCTTCCAAAAAGTTTTTTCATAATGTCCACTGTTTGTTGGAATGTGACGTTACGAGGTTGTTTTAGAAGTAAATAGTCTTTGTTCCACTTGTTCCAAAGATGTCATTGTGTTTAATAATTTCACTCACAACAAAAAACAAGTAAAAGTGCTATATTCGGCTGTGCAGAATCTTATATACCATTCACCATAGTGTATTTAAAAAATATCAATTTTATTAAATTTAAATTTATTTCATTTTTACGACAATATCATTATTATAGTAATAGCTAAACAAAATAAACAACAACAACGCTAAACGAAATAAACACACTAAATACACAAGGCAGTAAAACCAACAGACATCCAAACATACGAAACGAAGTACACAAAAAAACAAAAACAAAATACACAACGCAATGAAACCAACACCCAATTTACACGATGATTTTTTTTCATGTTTGCCCAGACGTCTGTTTTCATGTTTGTCGATGATTGGTGGTGAGCGGGGTAGAGAAGAATGGGGGGTAAGAAAACAAACATGATTTGGGATTTTCATGATTGTTTTTGACATTCCTCTTTAAACTCATTCGTACTGTTGATATTATGCTCATGTAAAATAATAAATATGTCTTTTTTTACATAAAAACATTAAAATTTGCATTAAAAAAATACTATAGCGTGTAATTAAATTTTTTTTAATCAAATTAAATGGTTTTTATGTTAAAAATTTCATTTTATTTTTATTACGAATAAGTAATTAAAAAGGATTATACAATTAAACATCAAAAAAAGACATGCATAGTTGCATGTAAAAAATCACCGTATAAATGTTCATGATTTTTTGGAAGATTCTCAAAAGAGAATTGGAAAAAACAGACGTCTGAAAAGTCTTCATGTAAATTGCGCCCAACAGACATTCAAACATACGAATACACTAAGAAACAAAAACAATATACACAAGGCATTGAAACACACAGCCATCCAAACATACGAAACTGAATACACCAAGAAACAAAAACAACATACACATGGCAATGAAACACACAGCCATTCAAACATACGAAACGAAATAATCAAAAAAACAAAATACACAACGCAATGAATAAGCAGTGTTGTTGTTGCTTATTTTTTATGAAATTTTCAGAGGTTGTCTCGGATTTTTGCATATATCTCCGTTGTTTATGGACGAATTAGGAAACTTCTCGAAAGCATGTCTGATAGAATTATTGAAGATTTGGATCCTAAAGGTATCTGGGGTCTTCAGAAATGTGATTTCAACAGACAGACAGACGGACATGGCTTAATCGACTCCGCTATCTATAAGGATTCAGAATATATATACTTTATAGGGTCGGAAAATTATATTTTGGAAATTACAAACGGAATGACAAACTTATATATACCCTTCTCACGAAGGTGAAGGGTATAATAAAACGAACGTGTTTTTTATATTGCAATGTCGTTTCAATTTTTTTATGTTTAAAATCCTCGTAGACAATTGTTATGATTATGAGGTGGTTGAGTAAAACAATGGAGTTTAATTCTAATCCAAAGTTAACCTTTGGGTTAATATATATAAGACAATACATATAAAAGGCATATAATAAGACAATACATATAAAAACGACAGTTATAATTTTAGTACAAAGAACATAGAAGTTGCTTATTTAGGGAGGCCGACAGGTTCATAATATAGGTCCATTCCAAAAATCACTTAAACACACATTACTTATCACTAAATTACGATATAGATACAAAATTTGACTGAAATATATATTTTGTGTACAGAAATGTTACTTAAATAATTTTTTACTATCGTCGATATATAATGGGTCATATCTCCCGTACTAGGTTCTGCCCCGAAAATCACTTCAAACGTATTTAACTAGTTGCATTATCAATGAGACCCTATATATATATTGTATATCCTTAAATCTTTCACACACATGCATACATTTAAATTATTAAATATAGCCAAAGCATATCTTAGGGCGCTATAAAAATATAAATGAAAATGATATTTGTAATGTTCAATATATCTTGCAATTGTAACAGATTTAAGTTGTTTAAGTCTTGGGTTTTTCTATTAAAGACATGAGTTAACGTATTTCTACAAATATTTGATCAATTAAAAAAGTATTAATATTAAAGAAGCTGGTGGAGGGTATTTAAGATTCGGATCAGCCGAATATAGCACTCTAACTTGTTATGTTTTAAATTTAAGCTTCATTAAGTTTCATATTAAATTTACAATTGTCTTCTACTTGTACTCAAAAACATCAAATTGGATTAACATCAGATTAAATTTACTTTTAGATTAACTAATCTGATTATTAATTGGCATTTGATTGCCAACTCAAAAACCCGCTCTAAAAGTTACATAAACTTGGAAATATGTATATATAAAACAAGTAAGAAATTATAGTCGGGCGAGGCCGACCATATAATACCCTACACCTTTGACAAAAATATTATGTGATTTAGTTGCCATAATAAAGCATTTAAGTTGAATTGTACCTTGCCTTAGATATACATACTTAAGCCGTTTATTGTTGAATAAAATTGTGGACATTTAAGTGAAATTTTGATGGGGGCTTTTCATATGAGCTAGGGTCATATGAGAACCTATTATTATGGAATTCGTAGGGGTCATCAAGTCTTGTATACAACTTGGTTATTGCAGCTTTTTGTCGAGATATGAGTATATTAAACATAATTATGAACTTAAAAGCCCTATTCGGCGGATTCAGTTGTATGGGGGCTAGGTGAAATAATGGACCGATGTAAACCATTTTCAACAGGCTTCATCTACGGTACCATAAAAGATCATGTGCCAAATTTCATTGAATTATCTCCAAAATTGCGACCTGTAGTTTGATTACAAATTTTAAAAGCCCTTTTCGGGGGTTCAGTTGTAAGGGGGCTAGGTGAAATAATGGACCGATGGTAACCATTTTCAATAAGCTTCGTCTATGGTACCATAAAAGATCATGTGCCAAATTTCATTGAATTATCTCCAAAATTGCGACCTGTAGTTTGAATACAAGTTTTAAAAGCCCTTTTCGGGGGTTCAGTTGTATGGGGGCTAGGTGAAATAATGAA